CATGTGACAGGTAGGTGTTAAGCTCCAGTACTGCTTCTTCCATCAATGAAATATCTGAAAGATAGACAACGAAAAGTAAATTAACGGAAATCAAGGAAGATTGGTTTTAACTCTTAAATAGTAAAGAGAGAAAGAAGAAAACAGAAAAGGAAATTTCTGGTTTTGTGTTTACTCTTTTGTTTTTATCTCTCCCACAGGGGGTTCCCAAGGGCCTGATCTCCATCAGAGAGCTTTGACAGTTTACAGCTAAGGACAGTAGCACTCCCCTGCAACAATGCCAGACTTGTCAGAACTCCTTTATCAGAGCACAAAGAATACTCTGGACAGAAGGCAAACCATGGATGAGCTGATATTCCACCCAAGTTTTCACTCAAAAGCTTAAAATTCTACCCTTAAGCTAATGTTTTTTAGACAGCCATCTGAGTGTAAAGTGAACCTGCTACATTGATTTTTAAAGTCTAGTCATTTGGCTTTTTTCTGCAGAACTCTACTTTGTGTTTAAAACTGACAGCTACACCAAGCCATTAGATGGGCACCATTTTGCTCAAAACTCAGTGGAAACTGAGTAGTTTTATATATATATTTTATATATACATATATAAAATATATATATAAAACTATAGCTTTTACTAAACTGCCAGTGAGAAGGAGTCCAACAGCAGTCTGCAATGACGATTTCACTTCTTCACTTGTAAGCATGAAGCCTGTTACATGATTGCTGAGGACAGCAGGGTGATAAGGTTCAACTGCGATCTGTAACTTCCCAGGTGTATAAACACCTGGCAGAACTAACACTATACTGGTAGAAACAAGCTTTTTCTTAGCCCAACACACCGGGCAGAGCTCTCAGCATTCAAATTCACAGGTAGTTACAATACACTTCTAGCATACAGTCCTTTATTAGAGCTTTTTATAATGAGTTCAGAATGCCAGGCCAATTTCTTTTGGAAAATAAACAAGCATGAAACAGACTAGGCCTTAATATGCACAATGTAGTATCAGCTCTAAGGTGAGGGTTAGATGAGTGTTCTTGAAAACTTGTAACCTTGGTCATACCTCCACTGTTCAGCTTGTGAGACAGAACATCTACTTTCTCCTGCAGCTTGTCGTACATTGTCACAATCTGGGCAACAGCACGGCGAGAAGACTCTACGCGCTCCTGCAGCTGGGATTCTATCTCCTCGCTGGTGCTGCTGGCCAGAGTGGCCAGGAAGGAGAATGCCGGCTCCAGTCCTTCCCCTGGGAACAGAAGGAGGCACTAGAAGGTAAATGTTATCTAGCAAATAACATATAACACATAATCTTCACAATCACAAAAGAGAGCCTCTGTCACCCTTTAGAAAGGGACATCAGCATTGTCCACAGCTGAAATCCATCTTTCCCACTGTCTCCAGACAGGTGTCTCACCTCGTTCCCTCTCATCTTTGCGCTCCTGGTTACTGTCAGAGTCTGGTTCAGGTTCTGGTACCACCAGCGCTTTTCTTTCAGACAAAAGGTCTCCAAGACCTTGGTCCAGATCGAAGCGTTTAAGGATGATGCGGATATTTTCATCAAACTGAATGATGGGACAGGCAAGGTAAGACAGAGAATGGATGTGAATAAAAGCAGTGCAATGGTACAGAAAAGAACAGTGTATAAAAAGCAGCAAACCAACCTGATTCCAGTATCGGTTGATGATCAGCAGAGATGCATCATCAGTGGCCTGCCGGCGCTCCAGCTTCTCTATGTGCTCCCGCAGCTCATCCTCGATGGCCTGACGCTGGTCCAGCATCTCTGCAAGCTTCCGGTTCTTGGTTTGCAGAGTCCGGATGTCCAGGTCCTCCTGTGCAGGGAAACGTGGCGCACAAGACAGATCACAGACACATTTTTGTTTCCAGATGAAAAAGAGCAAGAGATTGAGTGGGGGTGTGCAAGAAGAACGTACTGTTGAGGAAACACCACCAAGCTTGATGGTCTCCACCGTGGTCCCTGAATCTTCAACCCCCGCCTTCTTCTCCGGAGGGGCAGAAGGGCCAGGCTCTGCAGCTGCCCGTTTATTGCCAATTCCAGACATGGTAGCTGAAGCAAACAGGTTCCCACCTTCTCCAAATTCTTCCTGAATATGAAAGAACACTATTGAAAAAATCCCAAACACACACACATCCAGTCAACTCGATTTGGGATTTTTAACAGACCAATCCATTACGGTAACAAGACGCGCAACACAGAACAGATCACGTAACTCTAATGGTTTTGGAAAATACTTTAGGAAAGGAATGGGTTAAAAGTGGAAGACAGGTGAGGAGGACTGTAGATCACTCAAGAGACCCTGTAGCTGGGAATAAGCCTTGACAGGGTGGTGATCCTCTGGCATGGACCGAGTTTAACAGTGCCACGTCCAGGTGAGGGTATCTTGTGTCCAGGTGTTGCTTTGCAGATCCCAAGGTTATCAAGGTAATGGAAATAAATTTACTCTTTGTGTTCTTGCTGTGAGTTTTTGCCTGCCTGTGTTGACTTGCCCATTCTGACCAAACATTAAATGGTGAAAGACACCACTAGGATGAGCACTACAAACAGCAAGTTCAAGGGGAAAAAAATCCACTGTTCTGTAATGTTAAATGGAAGCACTGTACCTTATCACTGTCTTTGGAAAAAAATCTTCATGTAGGTTCAGTTGCTGCTTTTCTGTATTAACAAAAAGTATCAGGGTTAGATTTTAACAAACTGCTGAGACTGTGTATATGTGGCACCAAGTTCACGAAGTTCTCACCTTGGAAATAAGCCCTGTACTTACAAATCTTATAAATCCTACGGAACTGAAAAACAACTCCCAGTCAAGGCTTGTAAAGATCCATTTCAAGAGCTTTCCTGTCTATCGGGAGATGCAGACACGTTTGAAGAGAATCTATCCCCAAATTAACACACTCTGAAAAGCTCTGGACTAGTTAGAGAATCCCAGAACAGCTGAGGTTGGGAGGGATGTCTGGAGGTCGCCTGCCCAGTGCTACTGAAGGAAGTAAGGTCAGTCAAAGCAGGTTGCCAAGGGCCTTGTCCAGCCTGAGTATCTCCAGGCACAGAAACTCAGCAATGTCTCTGGGCAGCCTATCCTAGCTGAACTACAAGGGCACTGGAGAGGGTAGGGTAACAGCAGTCACTAAAAACACCTCATCTACTACCAGTCAGTCCAGCAAACCACTAGAGACCAGTGCTTTTCCTATTTTTTGTCCACAGACAAAGTATCCCTTCCATCGCCTCCTGACACCATCCCTCAAAGCTCCAGTTCCCCCTCTCCCCACTTCCTCACACACTGTACACCACAATCCAACCCACTGACTTTATTGCCACAGACCCTCTCTCTCACGGAATCCTTTAGATTGGAAAAGATCTCTGAGATCAACAAGTCCAACCTTGACTGATCATCACTTTTTCAGCTACACCATGGCACTAGGTGCCACATCCAGTCTTTCCCTGAATACCTCCAGGGATGGTGACTTCACCACCTCCCTGAGCAGCCCATTCCAATGCTTAACAAGCCCTTCTGCTGCTCACACACACAGAAGAGGTTAAGAACTCTAAGGAGGGATGTACCCTTTTTTAAATGTCACATTTATTTCCTTTTTGATACAGAAGAGCTGTTCTGCTCTGCAAACTAACTGACAAAATAAGCTTTATTTTGATTCTTACATTGTACTTACAAAAAAAAAAAGGATATCTGATGACAAGCCCTACAAATTGAAACTCAAATTAGATTTTCTCTTCTCACATACTACCATTTTACACTAAATCTGAAAACCTCAAGGTTTTATTACTTCTGCTACCACCAGCTCTTGCTGCTATAGTACAGAAACTCTACCGCATACATATAAAACCTGATGTACAGACACAGAATCACAGAACTAAAAGCATTGGGCACATGTAAAAGCTGCCATTTGAGTTTATACTCCCCAGCAGGAACTCCAGTCAAGCAATGTCCTGTCCACAAGCCCTAAAGGGGACATGTCCGTAACCTTCAGGTCCGGCTCAGTAGGAATATCTTAAGGATGGAAGGAGAAAGGGGAAAAACAGCCAACTCCATTGCAAGATCAAATCTAGAGCTCCTTAAAATAACACCTATTTTAAATTTCCGTTCTTTGGGAACTCAACCTTTTCTCTCAGTCACAGGCTATCCACATTATTCCCTCCCTAGACAGACCACACTGATTTATTACAGACTGACTGTCCTCCTAGCGTTCCCCTCCCCTACCACCGGCCTGTTGTGGAAGAGAGATGCGAGAGCTGGGGCTGTTTAGTCTAGAGAGGGGAAGACTGAGAGGGAATCTCTCTAGTGCCAAGAGGATGGTGCCAGACTCTTTTCGACGATGCCTAGCGACAGGATGAGGAGTAATGGTCATAAACTAAAACACAGGAAGTTCCACTCAACATGAGGAAGGACTTCCTTCCATTGACGGTAGCAGAGCATAGAATGGGCTGCCCTGGGAGGGCATGGACTCTCCTTCTCTGGAGATATCCCAAACCCACCCGGACGTGTTCCTGTGTCACCTGCTCCAGGTGATCTTGCCTTGGCAGGGGGGTTGAACTGGGTGATCTCCAGAGGTCCCTTCCAACCCTAAAAATTCCATTATTCGAGTTCCTACATGCCCTAGCCGCTTCTACACCCCCGCCGCCCTCCTCCAGTCCGTGGGGACCCCCGCGGTCCTGCCGCTGCCCCCGGGAGCCTCCCACCCCGCCAGACGCACACCCCCCAGTCCCGTCCCTCCCTCCATGGGCGTGTGGCGTCTCCACCACCAAGCCACTGCCCCTTTCCCCCGCACTGCCACCTCCTGGCTCTCCTCGGACCCCAGCCCGGATCCCGGCCCGCGCTACAGACCCGCCGCAGCACCGCCGCCACCATCTCCTCAAGCCATCCCGCCGGCAATGGCCGCCGCCGCCGCCCGCCCCTTCCGGCCGCCATTTCGCCCTCACGCGTCATGGAGGCGCCGCTTTGCCCTCGCCCGACATGGCCGCCGTTGCCATGGCGCCCGACGCCCATGCCCGTACCCGCACCTAAGATGGCGGGAGCGGGTGGTGCCGCCCCGGTCGTGTGAAGGGCCGCCTCCCATACCCGCCCTCGCGTGGGTGTGCCCTGCTGACACCCTGTGTTCCCCGAGGTGCGTTAAAAGTGTGCTATGTGAATTTCTGAATGTTGGCGAAGCATTCTGTGTCAGCAGTACCGTAGCCAGCGGGACTAGGAAAGCGATTCTCCCCTCTGTAGTGGTCACCGGCCAGGCCGCAGTTCAAGTGCTGTGTCCAGTTCTTGTCTCCTCAATTCAGGAAGGACACTGAGATGCTGGAGCGTGTCTAGCGAAGGGAAAGAGAACTGGAGAAGGGTCTGGAGCACAAGTCTGGTGAGGAGCAGCTGAGGGAGCTGCAGGGGCTCAGCCTGGAGAAAAGGAGGCTCAGGGGAGACCTTACTCCTTACAACTCCTTGAAGGGAGGGTGTAGCCAGGCGGGGCTTGGTCTCTTTTCCCAGTAACAAGTTATCGTACAAGAGGAAACGGCCTCTAGTTGTACCAGGGGAGGGTTAAGTTGGACATTAGTAGGAATTTCTTCACAGAAAGGGTGATTAGACATTGGAATGGGCTGCCCAGGGAGGTGGTGGAGTAACTGTCCCTGGAGGTGTTTAAGGAAACACTGAACATGGCACTCAGTTCCATGGTGTCGCTGACGTGGTGTTGGGTCAAAGGGGTCAATCTCAGAGGTCTTTTCCAACTTAATGATTTTGTGAAGCTGTGAAAATCTATCTGTGTGAAATACAAGCACCACGCAGGCCCAGCTCCAGCTAAGATTGAGCTAGTAGATAATGTAAGTCTAAAGTGAAATTTTAATGGTTTAGGTTTAGAATCTTCATCTCTGCACATCTTTGTATAATGGCCAGTGTGAGAGCAGCTGGGACAGGGAAGTTGACCAGCTTGGTTGAAATCTGTATTTGCAGAGAACTTGTGTCATTAAAAAAAACTGACATAACAGCACTGGAAAGGTGAGTACCTTGGGGATTTCTTAAGAGATTGAATTCAGTCCTCCCCTAGTTAAAAAATAAAAACCACAACAAACAACAAAACATTTGCTAATGCATTTCCCACCAACAGCATTTCCTTGCAGCTGGAGAGCCCTTGACTGAGTAAGAAATAGTTGGTAAGTGATAGATTCTCAGTTCAGCCAGTTCTTCACCACAGTGTTAGAAACCAAAAGAGCTTTTATGTTGCATCAAATGTACTCCAAATGAAGTCTTAGAGTCAGCATAGCCTTCAGTTCTTGTGTTTTCCCTTCCCTTGCTTTATACTTGTTTTTTCTCCCTTCTATGTATTTTTCTCTCAGATGTGGATCCCATGAAAATTTAGTCCTCTCAGCAAAGCTGTAACTGAAATGGGGGTGACCACAACCTTTTATTTAATTTCATGCTTGTGTCTTTTATCTCTGTGCACCTTGGCATTTCCTCCACAGGGAAAGAAAACTCATTTCCTGCAAAGCACTCTTACTCTTGTACATTCTGTCCCATATCTGTCTTAATGACCCACCATGCTTTAGATAAGCATTCAAACTAATCTTTGAGTTGCCCTTCTATACACTGCATATTACATACCTTAGTGTTTGAGACTGCCCTAAAATGGGACTTAAAAGGGAAAGTTTTAGCAGCAGCTGGATCATAGCGCTATAAAAGAAATGGCTGTGCTTCAGAGTGCCCATGTAGTTTCCCACACAGCCTGCAAACTCGAGACTGAGACCCTTGTTCCCCTCCAGTACAAGGAATGTGCTGTTTCCCTTAGAGCTGTTTGTAGATTAACAGTCACTTCCTTGTGAATTGTTATGCAGAGGCAACTCAGCAGACGAGGGAAAAAATATAAGCAAAGCAAAATATGAATGCTAAGGAGAGAAGGAGAGGGATTAATGATACTTGTATTAATACTTGAGATACTTTTGTGGAGCAACTAGGAGAGCAAAGCAATCTAATGTCAGTGAAGAGGAACTGCAGCAATTTGCAATTACTTGGAGTATCCTAGGAATATGACAGGTAGGGTTGCTTTTTTTCCTGAAACTGGCAGGTTCAACCAGAGTCCTTCACTTGCAATTGCTATAAGAGAGAGTTAAGCAGTCATTCAAAATTACAGCTAGTTATGAATTCAAATGATGGAAGCAGAGTATTTCCTGGAATGAAAGTGCGCTTGTTTTTAGCATAATCAGAGGAAAACACCAAAGACCCAGAGATGAACTGAGTAAATAAAATTGTGTAGGGAACAGCCTACAAATGAGACAATTTTGAGCTTGTAGTGTTAGTGTGCTCAGGCTGTGACCACAGAAGTACACTCACATTGATTCTCCTTGTGTAAACAAGACTCGCACAGCCTTTTGACCAGGGTTGTACTAAGCATCACTCATTACCTATTCCAAATCTCTGTTCCAAATCAAAAGGACATTAAAAAACTCAAATATTGTCTCTTCCTCACGTTATCAGACTAGTAGAATATGCTAAAGTTTGTTATGAAAGCCCAACACTGGCATGAGACACACCCTCTTCAGTAAAGCAGGATGTTGAGACACAGTGCTGTGAACTGTTTGCATATTACCCAGATGTGCCTGCAGGTATGCAGTTAAATTTAGAAGTCTGGCACACCCAGGATGGTACCTGAAGTGATCTTTCATCCAGCAGCACTGTGCTGCTTCCAAGAGGAAAGGCCACGTGGGAGATAGTGTGGATAGCTGATCTCACTAAAGTCTGTTAGTGAACCTGAGATCATGGCTAGCAGAAGGCTGTGCCCTGTGGGTAGAGAGAAATCCTCTCTTTTGCCAGAAGGTTTGTGTGCCTGAAGTCTGCTGAGGAACTATCAGAACACAAATTCCTCCTAAAGATGGGACCAGAAGAGCTTTGGCCCATCGGCTCCAGATGCTGTCAGTGGCAGATTAAGAAGGAGATTGCAGGTTGCACACACAAGGAAAGAGGTTGGACAAATGGACCCAAGGACCTGTGGAATGAAAGGCGGGGGGTGCTGTGCTAGGTACATATTTATTAGGGACAACAGTAGAACTGTATTTAATAACATCAGGGTACTTTATTTAATCATATCCACCCAATGCAATGGGTACATCAGGTCACGCAGAAATGTGTCACTTTACAACATCCTTGATTTAGCCAACAATTGCTAAATTTCAGGATGTTACAATTTTCTTGAGAGACAGGCTGACTGAAGAAAATGAGCACACATAAAACTGTAGCCAATGCACTTTAACTGAGTTCTTGCTTTACTGTAGAAAGAAATTGCACTCCTTTTTTTTTTAATTAAAATTAGTTAATTATTGCTTACCAGTTCGTCCTACTGTACCATACTAGGATGCTTATGACACACATCTAGGAAGAGAGACGCAGATCATATTTTGCCCAGGTGCAGGAAAGAAATTCCATTGTCCCCTGACCAGAACTGGTTTGGACAGACATGTTTAAATTGCCTATATATTCTGCACAGAAATTCTCACTTTTTCGTCATGTTATTTCACTAGCTGTCTTCCTCCTGTAGAGAAATACTTAATGCTTTAAGCTAAATGGAGAATATAGATATGAATTGAAAAGATGACTAAGTGGGTTTATTTTATGGAAAAAATGAAGTCTGTAAAACAAACCTTACCTACTGCCCCTTCCCATTTGTTAATGGGATGGCACTCCCATACTTTTTCCAAATACGAGCTCTGCTCATGATCTAACTATACAGTTAAAGCAGTACCTTAAGTAAGGTCAGTAAGTCATAAATACAATCTCCTGTAAAAAGCCAAAGGCTGTTTGCTGCACCACACACAATGGAAGTGCTGAAGAACCAGACAGCCTGGAGGCACAAAGCAGTACTGGAAGCAGCTCAGTTAAAACACAAGAAGGAGAGGAGGGAAAGAGGGGAAGGGAGGTGCTCTCTCTTGACACCCAGAACATCCTGGCAGGCAATCCAATAAAAAGAAGGAATTAAATATAGTCACTGAGAAACCCAGACTGAGAAGTCTCAACTGCCTTGCTGCCTCACTGCCCAGTTGCCATAATGATCGTGAGAGATAAAAAATCCAGGAAATGGAGCCCAGGCTCTACTGTTTTCTTTCTTTCTTTCTGTTTTTTTTTTTTTTTTCTCTTCTGAGCACCATACCATCCTAATTTACTGTCTGTGCACAGAGGATTTCTGTGTGCAACTGGTCCTAGAAACAGTGCTATGAGGAGTTTCCTGAAAATGAGCCCATGTCTGCTATCCATAGTTATTTAATTGCAGTAGATCCACTTAAATTTTATAGAGATACTCTTCAGAAATTTCTTACTGTTGCATTACGAGACCAGAGAAAGAAAATGAGCTTTGTCTAAAATTATTAATTACTCATCAGCAGTGAAAATTACAGAATTTGCAAAATAAATTCTAGAGAAATCACTTGCATCTTTATACTAGCCAGCGTAGCTCTTGTAATTATAGCAGGTTATCCTTCTAGATCATGGACTAGTCACACACTTTTATGTCTTTCTTCAGGTAAGGCCAGTGCCCCTAGTTGGCCTCCCAGGACTTGTCTAAACGTAGACATTCCAAAAAAATGTAACCTGGAGGAATTAAAACTATGAACTAAGAGTGAACTATTTTAGTCTCTGTTCTACCATTATGTGGAATGAGAAAAGGTTAATAAAACACTAGCTAAACTGAATTAAAACCTCTTAAATTTCAAATAGCACTGCCCCTTAGGGATTTGAAGTAGTTTTAAAATAATCATAATTTGATACAATTTTCCTGAGAGTCTTTGTGTAGTTATAACCTTGTATGAGTGGTACTTAGACTTTCCAGCTAGACAGGCCATTTCTCTCATGCAGTTATCAGACCTTTAGTTCCAGAAGTGCTCACCTAAAATTTGCAGTGAATGAGAGCAGAGAAATTACTAACTCTCTGTGCCTCTCACACAGGCAGAGAATTTGTTTGTGAAATGTGCCCAGTGACCATACAAAATAATTTTACTACATTCTGAAAGGGAAAACTAAAAGCATTCCTGCAGTCTCTGGGGGTCAATTCCTTCTGACTCTCAGCTTGGAAATTTTCTGGTTTGCCTCTTCACCCCATTTTCTTTTTTTGCAGCAGTATCTTTTTTTTAGCAAAAAGTCTGTTCCAGACCAGCCTTCTATGTTGCAGAACAGAGCAAGTAACTGAGAGCCAATGTATTTTAAGAGATATTTTGAAGAGCCCCTGGACTCTGAGTCTAAATGACAATGTTTGTCCCTCTCTTTGAAATACTCTGCAGTCTGCAAGAGTCAGAATGTTGGAGCAAGACGGGAAGGAAGTTGGATCCCCAGAGCATATGCAACTACACTGACCAAGATACATTCATTTCTCTGTCATCACAGTTGAGTCTTTCTGAAATTCCATCATCATTTAACACATCACCATGTTGGCTCACACTAGTATTTTTTTAGCCCTACCTAATCATTTGATCAGAGAAGCAAAGGAAGCATAGAAAAGCTTTGTGTGTGTGCCCAGTACTCTCTAAAGTGAACTAGACTACAGTAAGTGTTTCTGTCATCTTCAGATGTGTGCAGTGTGGGTAGAAAAGGTTACAGGAATAGTAATAATTTATCTGCAAGATGAATTAGTTATTAGAATACTCCTGAAAAGTCTTGGATGCAGTTGTATATCAGAGACTCTACAGAGGGAAGGCCTGGGAAACACATGAACAGTGCTTAGTCCTGAAGAAATAACCAAATGCACAGACCAGGATGAAAAGGAGATCATAATATTTTAGCCTTTTTAGAGAACATTAACTTACCCTAGACAGCTAAGCCAGCATGAGTCCATCCCCACTGGAGCTGTGTTTCCTTTAACTACTGTTGTCTAAAGTTAAACACAATAGCCTTGACATATAAGATCATAATGTCTCCAGTGAACAGCAAAGGACTTTGAACACTTTTTGTCCCCAGTGACCAATACTGAGTCTGAAAGAAAAAAAGATAAAGCCACTTTGTGTAATTTATCATCAGTATTGTATTTCTATTCAAAACACAGATTAGAAATGTCTCCTGCTTCTTAAAGAAACAGAATATAAGCAGGAAATATTTATTGATTTACTGGGAGGGGAGAGGTTTCCTCCTATAAAACCTTAGTAAGGAAAGAAAAGTATTTTAAAATTTAGCTTTTGAAATGAACAGCAGATACCTATAAGAACAACATATCTATTGTGCAGCTGACAGTACAGGAATAACCAAGTAATTTTTATCATCTGGTATCTGTACATAAAGGAATAGTACTGTCACTAGAGAACTTCTCCGAGTGTTTGTGGAGGAGGCACAGCCTTTACAGGTTATGTGCATACTGGTACAACAAGTTATGCTAAACGCATTATTCCTTCCTCCTGCTAGAATGCAGTCACTTTGGATTTTTACCTAAGGAGATCAGGCTTGCAAAACGTTTTGGTTTTTTCTACTTCTCTTCTTTTTTTCCTTCTTTCTGTCTTTTGACAGATTCCTTCCTGCCCCTAATAAATGTTGAACACACTTCTCAAATTTCATTGCAACTGGCTGAAGGAAGCAAGTCTCAAACAAGTTTGCTGCCATGTCCTTCATGCAGCCTCTTGCAGAGCAGAGAGGTGAACATCTCCATCCTTCTGGGTGCAAGCCTTCAGCTCACTCCGAACAGGAAGCTTTTGTTTGATTTGCTGGCTGGATAATCAGAACATGCAGCTCAAAGTCAGCTGGAGTGTGCACACCCTCATGCCCTGGCCTCGTGGTGAAAACATGAAGCAGTAGAACTACTGTGTGGGAGGAAAGCTAAGGAATCAGGAGCGGGCAAGGAACATGAGACAGGAGTAAGGATATTTTGACAGTGATGCACAGGGCACAAATATCTCAACTCCATAAGAAATGAGGCTTCTCAGTTCAGCAGCCCCCAAGACTGTGAATTTCTGCTGTGCCTGCACATTGTGCAAGTATCTAAATATCACCTGCCTAGCTGGTCCTGCCTCTCACACTCCTGTTTATGAAAAGCAGGAGCTATACTTGATCTCAGGCAAAGCACAACAAAATATTATCCCCATTCCCTTGCACAAATGCTCAGTGCCATCAAGGCTGTCAGAGTGGATAGCAAAGGGGAAAGGTGCTTTGGCAACAGAAAATACTCAAATCTGAACAGCTGGGCTGAACCTTCACTACTTGGATAAATCCTCACCACAAGATTTTTTTTCTGGTTATAGTTTTTAAGTCCTATCCTATTATTGTACAGGCTGAATAATTTCATAAGTTACTACTTTTCTGAGCATTTCAGGTTGCAGTTGGGTTACTGCACAAGCAGTCTTGTCCCCACATGTTAATCTCTGCTTTCCCTCCCTGCTATGCTGACATAGTCATATGGTGTGGGGAGCTGATGAGATAAAGTGACTTGGCCAAGAAATAATCCACAATAAGATTGTTTTTTCAGCCAGATCTGTCTTCCTTATGCTCATGCATAGCAGGAGACAGCACCATGATAAGAATGGAGTAGTCAGGAATGACAGGCTTCCACTGTTGTTCTGTGCCACAGCCCTCAGATCACTTGAGGCTCTTCCCACTCAGTCTTTTGGGTCCAACAGAAGCTGTTTTAAAGAACTAATGTTTAAGGATGAAAGTCAAGTGTTCCCTGAAGAGTGTGCAAGTGACTAAAGTGAGAGCAGGGAAGCCTGTACAGAAATCACACAAAAAATTACACAAAATTTCAATTACTTAACTGTTTATTCCCAAAGAAGAGGCACTCTGGCCCATTCTTTTTCATTTATTATCCCAAATTGTTCTGCTGGCTGAAACACCATCTGAAATGTAGTACTGGGTGCAATGGGACATGTTTCTGCTGATGTTGCTCAATAGTCACTTTCCCATTTGCTCACTGACACAAAAGTGGAAAAAATATTTTTTTTCCTCACAAATTCTGCAACTCTAATCCTGGGAGGAACATAGTAATGGACCTCTTAGGAATGTATGCTCTCTGTCCCACCTCTAGTACTTTCATACACCCTTCTTTCTCTGTTCTGTTTTAGGATTTGTTGTTTTTCCAATGCATCAACTTTTGAAGGCATGAGAGTATTTAAGTGGAAGGTAAAGTATGAATCACTGTCATTAAAAACAGAAAAAGAGGCAGAGGTAGCAAAGAAGGATTTTGGAAAGCAAATCACCTGAGAAACTGTGAATTCTTCTACTGTCTTGCCTCATTATTTTCAGAGAAAACATCCAAGTAAACTGGGGGACCTTTTCCTAGGAAGTCACTATAGGAACCCAACTGTGATGCTCGATTGCGTTATTATGAGCATTACTGTTCCTCTGTTTTCCCCCCTCTTCTTCCACATTGTTTCTGCAAGAAGTCTTAGCTGTGAGATGGCTTTTGCCAGTACTAAAAATAAGGATCACAGTCATGGACATCTGAGGTCCTTTGTTCATCATGCTAATTAGAAAGGATGATAGAAATTGCTATGCTAAAATTAAAAACATACCTCATGCTGGAAACTTCTGATTACAGAACTGGGCACTAGCAAAATTCTAGCTGTGCTAGAATTGTGTTTTACTGAAACAACCTAAGGGATCTTTTTTCTTGGTGGTTGGTTTTTGTTTTTTTTCTCTTTTCCCCACAGATTTTTCTTAGACCTACAAGAGGTCAGAGCCCAAATACATGGACTTGCTTTTTCTGGAGCTGCAGGCACAAAACTATGGAGTTTTTATAATGAAAGACAGAAAACTTTATGTGAGGCATATTTCAGGTGACTGTAGTTAATTAGGTATTACGGTCACAGGGCTCAAAAGTGTGTGTAGAACAGGGAAGTGGAACATGGAGAGGAGAAGGACAGGGTGGGGAGGGGAATAAACACGTCAGTGGCAGTTTTGGATCAGTTTGGTAAAATGTTTGAATCCTGAACAGCCTGACATAAATTTTGGTGTAGCTAACGAGCCTCCTCGCTTGACCTATGAGGAAGTTACGGACTGAGACGGTGAAAGTTTCGTGTTTCCACCTGTGACGCTTGACACGCACATAAAGAACCAGCCGGTGACTCCTAACATTGACTTTCCACTCGAGCTTGTGAGGTCCCGGTGATCTTCCCCGCCCCACAGTGAGGCAGGAGGTCCAGAGCATCTACCAGGTCCCGGCTGGGGAGGGCGATGCGGGTGCCGGCGGGGACACTCGGCAGAGGGGACAGAGGTTGACACCTGGCAGAGATTACTCCTGGTTGGGGACGGGCTGCAGGTGCTGCGCTGCCCATTCGGGAGTCCCGCCGATGGCTTTGGAGCATTCGGGGACCGCCGAGCAGGAATGAGCAGCTCCGGCTGCGCTGCCGTCTCCACCCTGGGCATCCTCCCGGGGCTTGGGCAACTCGCCTTTTGCTCCTGAACCTGCATTCACTGGGCCAGTCCCGTCCCCGGTTTTCGGTAACCCCCTGCGGCCATCTCCCCTTCCCCTCCTTTAAGCGTCCCTGTGCCGGCGGAGTCACATGTTTGGTCTTTGATGCCTTTAATCCCACCCTCACCGCGCGAGAGGGAGGAGAGACATTCGCGGAAAAGCAGTGAGCCACAAACCCAGTGCCAAGATAGCGGCGGGAGCGGAGCTGCGAGCTGGAGGGAGGCGGGAGCGGCGATGCGGGGCTGCCCTGCGGATCGGGTAAATCTCCCCGGCAGGATCGGGCTGTCCTAGGGGTTTGGCTTTCAGGGGTAAAGGGGCAGCCGCACCGAGGCTGGGGGGAGCAGGGAAAGGGGGGGGCGGGCACGAAGTTGCCGGCTTACGAGCAGTGGGGAAGGGCGTGATCTGCGGGAACCGGCGGGGCTGGGCTGCAGTGGCTGCGGCACCGGAGCCAGCAGGGCAGGGAAAAGTGTCCAGTGATCGAGATCTGTTTGTGATTGCTCCGGGGATGTGACTGTACATGGTGATGAGCAGGAGGGCTGGTGGTCAGAGGCTGGCTGGGCCTAAATAAACGGCCCTTCCGTTAGGGAAGGTTGGTAGAACTCTTAAGGAAAGAGGAATAAACCCAGCCGGCTCCTGCTCCCTGCTTGGTGCCACTCAAACCCTCAGCCGAGGTAGAAGCGTGGCCAGAATTTCCCTGGTCAAAAGCCTGGGCAAGGGGGCTGAAGACGGGCACACTGAAGTGCCATGTGCGTGTCCTGCCTGGCAAGGAGGGCAGAGAGTGGAGGTGGGATCAGCTTTTCTTATCTACCGCCCTCTCCTCTTTGACCATCACCACTGAGGTAACTGCTATTAATCCCAGTGCTTTAAGGGTCACCTTGTGCTGCCTGGCAGCTCTCCCGAAGGGAATGAGGAGCACCTAAGAAACCTGATGGTGGAAGTCACTGACATTTAAAATCAAAGGCTGTTTAGGAAATTTGCAGGTGCTGATGGTGCAGCAAAACATGAAACTATACCCATGTACACTGCAGATTCATAGGCTGGCTTGCTCTCGTACAGTCACTGAGAAAGTCATTTCATAGAGGTACATCAGGTTCAGCAACCAATCGCAAGCACAAAAGCCAGGATAAACACCCTCCTGTACATGGGAAATCTGCTGCTTGCTTGTCTGTCCAACAAGGGCAACACTAATTATACCACAGATTATTTATCAGCTACTGCATTTATCACATCTTCCTCCCTTGGGACTCAAGCAGATCACCAGTATCCCAGAGAACCAGGGTATCCCATTTACCAAGCCTTATGCAGGATAAATAGTCTGTTTCATACATTGCAGGGGGAGGGGAGGAAGACTGTGTATTCATCAGGCATAGGTGGTGAATACAGAGGAAAAGTCGGTAGATTAACATTTAGCGGAGAGTGTCTCTTAAAAGAGGAATGTTTTTTGTCAATATGACTAAACATTTTTTCTTTCAGACAAAGGTTAGAGTCAATATTCTCGTTGTTGCCTGGTACAGTTTTGCATTTTGATTGTTACGTGGACCTGTCCCAAGTGGAAACTTACAGCCTTATTATCAAAGGCCTTTGCTCACAAAGCATTTCCTTATTACTGTGCTTTATTCTTTACAGTCATAAATGAACAACAGTAAAGGTGCCACATCTTTTGTGTTAGCAGCCATCACCACATCTATTTCATCTTCCCCTTTCCCCCATTTATACACCCACAGCTCTACTGTTGTAGGTGAATTTTTAAGGGAAGTCATCATTGTGGGGATAATAAAAGGGTTTTATTAATGATTAGATGATAGTCAAATGGTAATTAATCAATTATTTAATGATAATGAAATGATAAATGATTAAGCAGTAATTGAATGATAATTTAATCACAGTTTAACAATGATTTAACAATAATAAAAAGCTCTAATTAAATGGTAATTGAACAATGATGTAGTTGATGATTTCAACAATTATTTAAATAATGATTATACTTTGCTATGTATTCCACTTCTAAAGCTATAGCCGGACATATAAATGTCACTAACATACAATACAGTTTTAGGCTTAATGCAAAATGTTCTTACCCCATTATAGATATCAGATGCCAGGTAAGGGGGTCTCTGGTCCTCAGGAAGTAACCTTGAGCTATGTCCCTGCTCACAGGGAGATCACCACCATGCCATACAGGAGAGCTCCCTGGGCTCACAGGGGCTACAGGTATCTACAGCCTGCAGTGACTGACTTGTAGTCACCCCAGTTTGGTGTTCATGCAGGAGTGCAGCTGTAAGCAGTTTTAGTTTTGTCTAGTCCCCACTCAGGCTGGTACTGTTTGCTCTTGATAAGACATGAATTCCTGAGAGAACAGGGCCTAGCACAGTCACAGAGCAGGTAATTTTGGAAGGGCCCACAGTGGGTCATCCAGTCCAAACTCACTGTTGCAGGGTCATCCCAGAGAACATTGCACAGGATTGTGTCCAGACAGTTCTGAAATATCTCCAGTGAGGGAGACTCTCCAGTCTCTCCAGGAAACCTGTTCCAGTGCACTGTCACTTACAAGAAGTTCTTCCTTAGATTTTGATGGATCTTCTGGGCATCAGCTTCTACCTGTTGCCTCTTGTCCCCTTGCTGGGCACCCCAGAGCAGAGCCTGGTCCATCCTCTGACCCCTCCCTGCAGACACTGACAGACACTGATGTGGTCCCCTCTCAGCCATCTCTTCTTAACACTGAGCAGGCCCAGCTCCCTCAGCCTTTCCTCATAAGAGAAATCTCCAGTCTCTTAATCATCTTCTGGAGCACAGGTAGTTTTTTCACTAGTCTTTCCAGTCAACGGGAAGGGGGTTTGAAAATGCCAACCTGTTGAATTTGGCAAATCATTAAATGGTTACAGGACTGGTGCCACAGCCAGGGGTTCAGCTTAGACTGTAGGACTCGCTTTGAGAAACCCAGTCTGCTGAGGTCTGCTGGGGTCCCCAGCAGGGAGGGGAAGAGCATCTTTGGCAACAGGCTTGCCAAGTTGGTGAGGGCTTTAATTTAAAGTTGCTGGGGGAGGAGAACCTCAACCCATCCCAATCCTATCAGTTTAAAGCCAAGCTTGCAAGAGATGCCCAGAATGGGATCACAGGTAAGCAGGAAAGCTCCTGAGTGGCAGCACAAAGGAATTCCAGGCACTCCAGCCAGTCCTTGGCCTTCATCAGAGCCCAACTCAACTGCCTCTGCACAAAGATATGGGCAACGGACAAGGGGAGTTAGAGACTTACACTCACCTGCAGGGCTGTGATCTTACTGGCAAAGTGGTGGGATGGCTCGTGACACTGCAGTGTTGGAATGGAAGGACACAGGCTCTTTAGGAAGGGGAGGTGGGAAAATGAGGAGTGCGGGGTCATGCCCTGTGTCAATGACCAGCTGTGCCTGGGGATGGATGAGGAGCTGACCAAAGGTGATGAATTAGGAATAAGGGAGAGCAGGGACGGGTGAATTTATTAGGTTCTGTTCCAGGCCACCCTACCAGGAAGACTGAGTGGACAAGGCCCTCTGTAGACTATAGAATGCCAATTTTTCATGACAGGAAAACCAGGCTGATATGCTACATGAGAAAAACAGATTCCCTCCTATCTTTTATATTCTTCAGCTGAGGATCCACTAAGGCACCAATTGCCTCTTGTGTTTGTGTGCAGTATGCCCTGCAGCATGCAGGGGCCCTAGTTTTATTCTAGCAAAAGGCTATGACACAAGGAGTTAAATGCAAATTATCTATATCATCTCTGATGAGTCAATGCACATTTAGCTCTGAGATTCTAAGAGCAGACAGCAAAAGGTAGAAAGCTGATACCATTATTAGCAGCAATATTGTTTAAGATAATTTTTGGTTTTTTGTTTTTGTTTTTTTTAATAGAGTCTTACATTTTATACTACAGCAAACATTTAAAATTTTGTAGACCTTCATGAAAAAACACAGCAGCTTTTAGACATCTTTTATCAAATTCCCTAACATACCCTTTTTTTTACCTCTGGCACAAAAGAAAAATGTAACTCCAGACAGATATGGATTGCGTAATTAATTTTAAAACCACATAAACCTTTGCGTCATCTTCTAAAAGACAGCTCCTCACAAACCTTAAGTCTATCTGTTTAGCTATTATCTTGCAGAACTCTCTTCACCAGGCTGCTTTCCATTCCCACTTGATCTGATCTACTTTACTGACTGGTAGCAACACAGAAGAACATTGCACTGCAGGCAGGCTGCCAGGTAAAAGTCAGCAGCTGTTGAGAATGGGCTCCCTGAAGGTTTATATGGCAGAGGAAAATTAATATACATGAGAAGCAAGATGGAAATTGGGGAAATAGTTGTAATTAATATATATCCAGTTCATAGCCTCTTTCACTGGTGGCATAGTTTTATCCTGTTAGTTCAAATGAAATGAAGAAAGTATCATCCAGCTGCCACATCCACATACCTCGTTTCTTAGTTCAGTAGCCACTAAAATAGAATCAAAAAACAACAGCTGATCTCTTACCACTAAGGTCCTGCTGATTGTTTTTAAAGCACAGCTCCTTTTGTTTTCTAGGGAGCCCAACTCCCAGTTTGGCATCTGAATGTAATGGTCAGATCTGTAGGTGCTTGGCTTCTACTGGACACTGCTGTCGTCAAGGCAGGCCTGACACATTGCAGAAATATTGTCTGGCACCTGACCTACTAAAAGCTGTCAGAAAACAAGGGGAATTGCAGATGAGAAAAGCTGGCCATCTGGCCCAATAATAGGGATCAGCTCATGGTAGGGACTTCAGGTTTCAGAATTCGAGGATATCTGTGCACCACATTCAGCTGTCAGCATGCATATAGGGAACAGGAGGAGGTCTGTGTGGCTCTTTGTGAAGACTGCATCAGTCTCCTCAGATTCAAGCAAGATTGTCACAGCAAGACAAAGGCCCTGTCTCTGCCAGAGGGAGTTAATGAGTAGAGATCTGGGTCCTGAGCTTGCAGCTGGTCCGTGTGATCTTAGGCTGGGGCACAGAAGTGTTTTCCACACAAAGGTTTCAACTTGAGATGCTGCTATAGGATCAATACACAATTGAAAACTACAGCTCGTATGAACACCTTTACTTCTGCCACTGCTGTGGCTCAGGTGGGGACTGTGACTGCCAAACTTTCTGTGATATTTTCCATGCCTTTGTTTCTCACAGAGACAACCCCGTAGCTTCTGACCCCACAACTTCATTCAGCTGTTTCTGTGGTAGGAAAGGAACATCTTTTCCCATTGACACTGAGAAGTGTAGATAGGTGAAAAGGAATAATTTAATATTGTAATTGTAAAGGAATAGTTGTGTCCTTGTCTCATGGAGCAGGGAGTAGAAGGCATTATGAGGATCTAAGAAAAGGAACAAGCAACTTCTGTAGCTTTATATCACCACAACTTCTAGATATGTTTAAGCAATGGCTCAGCTCTACACAGAACGTGTATAAAGCTGATCTCCACTGCAAGTATTTATATGTTTGCAAAGTAATCACTACTCAGGTTTAATATAGTGGGATTTCTTAAAGCACTATAAAATCCAATTCTGATTCTTGATTTTCCCCTCAAACTTCATTTTTTTCTGTCTGAAATGCCTTAAAGAAAAATAAGATTTTTTTTCCCCCCCCTAGAAAGGGAAGAAGATGAAAATGTCAGAACCATCCTAAAGGATAGAAAACAGCCTGAACAGAAATTCTGATTCAAATCCTGTGGATAAGATCAAACTTCACCTCTGCAGAAGTAGGACATTTTTTATCTATATGGGAATTCTCAAGTTCCCAGTCTCACAGACAGAACGTGGGAAGGAGGTCAGTGTCTTCCCTCTTTTCGAGATCCTTCAGCTTGGTTTTTGCATGAATTGCAAAAATTTGACCGGATTTAATATGCTCCTGACCATTTTTAACCTCTGTGGTTATTTCACTGCCCAGGGAAAACAGCCTTTTCTTCTACACTGAGAGTGTGGCAGTCAGTGTGACTGCAAACAGCCCAGGCAGCAGAGGAAGACTGAAAGAGTTCCAGAAGTGTGTGTGTGTGTGATTGTTGTTTTCCTTGAGGCTCTCTGAGTTGCAGAACCGGGATAAGAGTTCTGAGATCCTGAGTTCAGTTACTGATGAGGTGAAGCCAGGGTTAAATCATAAATTCTTGTGACTGTGGCTGGCTTCCAGTCCCCTTTTCCAGGGGCAGCTACTTCCTTGTGTGAAGCAGGAGATACCTCCAGAGATGGTGATGCTCCCCTGCACCATCTCACCCACCCTGTCCCGAGCCAGGAGCTGGGACACCAGCAGATGGAGTCCCAGCACCACTTTCCCAACAGGAAGGGTGGGTGGAGAAGGGACTGTTGGGCTTCAGACTCTGTGTGAGTCCCCCTGCAGGGGCCTGGGAGTCACCTCCAGGTGATCCTCACCCTTAAAAAACACGAGCTGCAGAAGAGCAGGACCTCAGGTGAAAATCTGTTTGATTCATCTCATGAGGCTGCAGCTCCTCCAGTTCTGCTGGCCACCAGGGAAGACAGGACACCCCTTCTTCCCTCTTCAGTAGAAGATGGTATGAGGGAAGGAGGCCTCCTTGAGTGATTTCGCTTAGAAGGAACCTTAAAGACCAGCTAGTTCTAAGCCCTCCAGTGAGGGATGCCACTCACTAGACCAGGTTGCTCAGAGAATTATTAATTAAAAAATGCTCAAAGAATTATTAATGTATATTCATATATTCAGTGTATATCCCAAGAGCTCACTGCTGTCTCACAGTTTTTTTATCTCAGATCTTTGGCATAGCTGGCAGGTGGAAAGTAAACTTCTTTACTTACGAGAACTAAACTACCTTCTAGCTTTTCTTCATCTCCTTTTCCCACTGTGGTCCTCACTTTCACATTTGGAGTCTGTCTCAGATACAGTGCCCACAGTGATGCTCATATCAAGAGGAGACTTAGCAGTACGCCAGTGTGAGTTGTAGAATATGATTCTGCATTTGTGTGTTTCCTTAATGCTTGTGACAGGTTAGCTGGAAAGCCCAGGACTTTGGATGAATAAATGGATTTAAATGCCAGGTCTTTGCATCTGATAGATTTCAGGTCTTCATGTCCTGAATCCTCATGACTTGGATTTCACAGCTGAAAGGCAGCCATCGCCTTTAAGGCCTTTACGAGGTCCACTGGTACAATGCAATGCAGTGTCTGTGAAACAGGATCGTTTCACAATTGTTTCAAAAAGAAAAAAAAGCTATATGGGTGCAGATTCTCATGCATCAACATGTAAATTTGTTATTCCTATTTAATTACTCTAAATCTTTTCTTGAATCATAAGAGAGCACAACACTGACACTGCAGTCTATTTAAGGATGCCTGTTCTCTATCAAATATTTGGAATAACTCCTGTATATTTTCCATTAATCTTGTTAAAAGGCCTTTCATAGAATGTTGTCACATTCCCATATGGCAATAGGAAGAGGTTCTCTGAATCATAAAACCAGCAAATCTGTGACTACAGTAATGAAGGCAGTTTTGAAGTTCCCCCAGTCAGATCCTGATCTGTCTCCTCCAAGTCATTTCTTGTACAAGATCTGTTTTTCTGAGACAGAAGAGAAAAGCCATGATTTCTTTCTACCCACCCAACATTGCTTAAGCTCCTTCAGATGACAGTGCAGAGAACAAAGAGTAACATTTTGGTCTAGGAGCACCACTTGATGATCAGAACTTGCTGAAGGCAGAAGGTAAAAGTCGGAGAAGACCCAGTGCACTCCGTCAGCTCGGTGTGGGGGTATGGATAACTCAGTTCAGAAGGAGAGGGAATAGGAAATTAAAGGGAGAATGAAACAGCAGATTAAAAAGGGAGATTAGTGGCACAACAGAATTTATCTGAACAGCCTGATTACCCTGATTTTGTGTAAGCTTCTGACAGCCAGGCTGTGAGGTGTTCATGGCAGCCAGAGAAGCAGAACAGAAAAGCCAAATGTGGCAAACTCTAACTTTTGCAAAGGTGGATGTTTATTTAAAGTGTGTATCTGTACAAAAAATTTATATGAATGTTTCAGTTTTAAATAAGAGGCATATACTTTTAAATAGCAAACTTTTAAATAAGAAATATGACTCAGTGGCTCAATTGCAACATCTTGCTGTGCCTGTGTATTTCACAGGGTGTAGCAAGGAGGAGACATCTGAAGGAGACAGACAGGCACACAGGCACACACATTACACTTAGCATGTACATGGGCCCTTGGTGAAGTAAATTGGTGTCTTTGTTATCTGGCTTCACACTCCAGGGAGGAAAGTGAAAAAGCAGGCGCTTGTAAGTGTGTGAGCAACAGAAGGGAAGCATGTGTCATTCCAGAGATGTAGAAGTTTGTCTCTCAAATACATGCTAGGCTAAGACACAAGGGGTTTGGCTGTGGTTCTTGGCTGTAACACAAATCTTACTGTGTCACTGTGACCAGAAAGTGGTATCTAAGTTCTCTGCCTTTAACAGGAAAGGATTTCCACACATCCTCCATTCACATTGTCTGTTGTTACGTGTTTGAAGCACAGTAACAAACACAACAAAGTCCTATCGAGCTAAGTTGGTATGAGCTCCTACATGATGAAAAGGCCTTAGGGGCACTTTGCTGGAAACTAAGTTTGGCTCATCTATCCTAAACCTTCCAGGACTATTCTGTGATGCCCCCCCCCACCACAAGGGACTCCTAAAGGGCTGCGTATTTTGGCTTACTCAGTGACTAACCCCCTGCTTTCCATTTTCTCTGTCAGTTCCTATTTCAGTAACCATCATTTTTCTTCCTTTCTAGGCTTGGACAACTTGTGCAGATTTGGCAGCCACTGCCCCAGTGATATCTTGCTATCCAGGGAGGAGCATGCACTGGAACTGAAGGATTGAGGGATGAACAGCACAGGAGTGCCCTCCTTCTGCAGCAGTTATGTTACACCAAGCCTGGCAGCTCTGTGGGAGGTGGTGCCGGTGGTCCAGCTCTGTTGTCCATCTTATCATGCTGACTGTGATGACGTTCGGGGTGGTTGCCCCTTTGATTTGCCACCGGCTCCTCCACTCCTATTTCTATTTGCGGCGCTGGCACCTGAACCCCATGAGCCAGGAGTTCCTGGAGCACAACCAGCAGGAGGGACAGGATGCCCTCCATTACTTTGAGAAGATGCAGATACCAAATGCCTCTGAGGCCTCTGGCAGTGATGCCTTCCAGCCCTTGCTGCTGATCACCATTATCACTGTGCAGAGGCGGTATGATTTCCACTATGTCCTGCAAGTGGCCTCCCGCTTCCACCGCCTCCTCCAGGAATGTGGTGCACGCTGCCGGAGCCACCGCGTGCTCCTCTGCAACGTGGAGTCAGACCCCAGTAGCCATCAGGATGTCACATTGCTGAGCAGCTTCTTTCCTATGGTCAGTCGTGACAGAACTGGAGAGAACCCTGACCCCAGAGTGAACCAGTTTGAGAAGGAGAAGCAGGACTATGTCTTCTGCCTTGAGCAGTCCCTGTTATCATACAACCCACAGTACATCCTTGTAGTGGAAGATGATGCTGTGCCAGAGAAGGAGATATTCTCTGTCCTGCAGCACCTCTTCTTGGCCCGGTTTTCCAAACCGTATCTCAGAGATGCTCTTTACTTCAAGCTCTACCATCCTGAGCGGCTCCAGCACTACTTCAACCCAGAGCCCATGAGGATCCTGGAGTGGTTGGGCCTGGGCATGTTGCTGGGGCCGGTGCTGAGCTGTGTGTACTCATGGGCACTGGGGCGGCCCAGCCCCAGCTGGCTGCTCGTGCTGTTCTTTGCTCTGTACAGCATGGCCCTGTCGGAGCTGGTGGGGCGGCACTACCTGCTGGAGCTGCGCCGCCTGCACCCCGCGCTCTACAACGTGGTGCCAGTCACCGAGTGCTGCACCCCAGCTATGCTCTTCCCGGCTCCCTCTGCCCGGCGTGCCTTAGGTTACCTGCAGGGGCTGCACTGCCGGCAGGGATTTGCTAAGGACACTGCCCTCTACTCCCTGCTGTGGGCCAAGGGGGAGAACGCCTATGTGGTGGAACCCAATCTGGTCCGGCATGTGGGAATGTATTCCAGCCTCCGGCTGAACAGCAGCCCAAAGCTGCTGTGATCTGTGCATGCCTTTCCAGACACAAAAGCCAGGGAACTTGCCACCAGGCAGAAGGGGAAGTGTGCAAACTGGGATATTGTGCTGCTTGCACCGGGCTTCCTGTGCCTCCAAATGGACAAAGAATAACTCTCTTTAACAAAAAACAAAACACAAAGGTCCTTAAAAAAATCAGCTTATATACATATAGACCCTATTTAATATATACCATGCACCACCTGGGAGGGGAGTGGATGATCCCAGGAGAAGGTGTGGGTTGCCCACTCTCCTTAACTGTTCTTGAAGGAAAGCTCTCACACCAACATGCACAGCTATCCTGCCCACTCTTCTGTACACTGATTACAAAATTTGCTTTAGGGCAACAGAAATGTGGGACAAAATGAATGTTTTAAATTTAAGCTAATGAGAAAGGGCAGGCCTTATTTCTTCATCCTTACTAAGGTCTGATCTCTGACCTCTGTCTGTTTCAAAGCTGTGGTTTTGAGCAGACCCTTCAAAAGCAGAGGTGGTTTACGGGAACTTCCCCGCAAATTCTGTCTGGATGCTTAAAATTTTATGAAGCCTCTATTAGTTACTGTTTCCCCCTGCAGATCCTATCTGCACCTCCACCCTTCCCATTCTTTTTGTTCAGACCAGAGGCTCTTAAAAATAAAGCCTCTGCTGCTCCATTAATTGTCAACTCTGAGGGTAGGAATAGGGAAACAGAATCACATCCATTGGTGTTGCACAGACGGGTCACAAATGCACATTTTTGTTGATACACAACAGATGTTAATACACATAACAGGATTGATTCCTGGGCTGGTTGGTTTCATCACTAGTTGTAGTGAATCTAGCTCATTAAAGGAGGTCTTATCAGTCACTGATTGAACTTAGGTATTCAAGATTAATTTACCTTGCCTTCCTACCAGCACAGAGGCAAAGGAAAGATTAGATCAGGTGCTGCTGTTGTGCAGGATCCTTGTTCATTTTGGAGCTGTAATTCCCATCTCGGCCTGAGTGGTGCATTCACTGCTCCTGGCAGGAAGCAAAACACCTGTTATCTGTTATCTCTTCACAAAGACAGGCACCAATAGCACAGTACATCAAGACACCACTCTAATAGTGACCCATTAACTTTGTGTGCCCTGGTTGTTAGGCCTTTGGATAGGTACTTTGTACCAGGGAGGTGGGCACAGTTAAATATAAAACCATGCAAGTGACAAAAGATCTCATACAGATTGAAAACAGGCAAAAACTGTGTATATCTAATGAAAAGCCCACCTTGGCTATAGTGGGCTTTGAATCAAATTCCACTTATATGTGGAATTTGGTTGAACTGCTTTTAAAACCTCATTCCTAGCTTTAGAGTGAACCACAGACAATATTTTTGTTGAGTTTACTTGTTTGGGGTTTTTTATTTTGGTGATGGAAGAGCTCTGCTTTGAATTTTCTTCTTGCAGGTCTCTCCTAGGTGATTTATGCCTTAACAGGTCTGCTTATAGGTGTGAAAGACTTAAAACTCCTGAGAAATGAAACCAAAGAAAATATCTGTCAGGACACTGTGGGTACCAGTTACACAACACAAACACATAGTGCAGGTTAGCACAGAAATGGCATCAGAGCAGTGCTTTGCTCTCCCAATAATCGGATGGAATACTTTTAGGACAGCTTTGGAAATCAGAGGTAAGTAAAAACTGCTGGTGGATTTCATGTCATTCCAAAGGCAAAGCACCTCTCCTGCCAGAGGACGCTGGAAAGATGGCACAGGCAAAATTCCCAGCTGCTGAAAACCCCGAGGATACCAAGGCAGATGGGCAAACCTCTTCTCAGGCTTTACGCAGGGTCAGGATGACAGGATTTGAGTGTTGTCGTGTATTTATTTCACGAAGTGCCTGCATATGCAATTGTTTCTGCATCTTCAGCTTTGAATGTTTCACTGCTGACACTCTTTTTCTCTTCACTCTTTTATACCTTTGTGCTATACAAATCCAGGACAGTGCCCTGTTTTTTTCATGAGGGCCTATTCATATTCATTCTTGCAAAGATCTCACAGTAATGTACAATAAATGGGTCAGGGAATGAAAAAAGAAGAGGGAAAAGAAACCAATTAACTATATACAGTTACTAAATATTTTCATATGGAGAAATTATTTATCCATTTGTCTCAAAAGTTATTTTCCTTGTTTGTCCGGTAGTACTTTGTCATCCCAAAAGTCCAGGGGAGGTCAATAATTTCACTGAGCCTCAGAGCTGAAAATTGAGAACACGAATTTGAGGCATCCCTTCTAAACAAGAAGACAATTTTCAGGTCATAAGAGATGAGAGAAGTTTACTGGGAGACCAAACAATATGCAGAGGGCCTGGGGCTTGAACTTGCAAGTGTGAGAGTTTCAGATAAACCAGTTGAGAACAAACTCCTTTGTGCAAGAAGCAGGTTAATTCTTTATAGCCTTCTGGAATGATTTTCTTAAGTGCACAACTCACCTTCACAACAGAGGCGCTGCTTTTACTGAGCCTGCTGGGAGCTGTTTCTGAGTTACTGGTACTTGGGCAGTGCCCACCCTGCCAGTGGGGCATCTCAGGCAAGGGCTCCATCTGGTGCTGCTGCCTTTGACCTATCACAGGTAGAGTGATTTTTGTTCCTCTTTTCTGTGCCACAAGTCAGAGAAGTGTACATCACCCTCAGAACAGAAAATGGGAGGTTACTGTGAATTCTTAATTCCTGTTGGATTTTGTTCTGCAGTTCAGGCAAAAAATGCAGTTTCAAACGCACAAAAGCCTTTTCCCTCTCTTTTCTACCAGGGGAGAGTGGGGCTGAGTTGCTGTATCACAGGCTATATAAGTTCAAGGCATAGCATTAGCTTTTTGAAATGTGGCCTTAAGATTTTGGTTTCATTCACTTTAAAACAGACTTTTTAAACAAACTGGTTTTTAACTGTTTTTTAAACAAACTGTCATTTTTCTTGGGTGTTGGTTTATTCCCAATAGTTTGGAGACTATTTTTGAACACAGCTACTACTGCTTGCACAAGAGGATTCTTTCTTGATGGGCCAGCAGCAGGACTCAAGGCTCTATTGTCCAAGACAAGTTATTAAATTAGACCAAGACTGCATTTGTTTCCAAGACATGTCCAACATAAGCATGATTCTGGCAGAACACAGGACATAAAATAACAGGTCTCTCTACTAGATTATAAGCTCAAGAGGATTTTCTAGCTGCATTGAGAGTCAGTGTCTTAGTGAGAAGACACTGCATTTGAAAAGAGAAGGGAAAAGCCTTCCTTCCAGAGGTGAGGAGCTGTGAATCACTAGATTGGGTATTTCAACAGCAATTTGTCTGGATGCAGGCTAATTTTTTTTCTTTTTTTTTTTTTAAATAGTTATTTACAAGCAAACTTTCAACAAAATAAACAACCTTTCTAGTAAAACTCTGTTGTCTGTTCTTTCTGTTTGTATTCCTGACTGACAGATCCATCTTTCCTTACCAAATTTGACAAAGAAAGATACTTCCATGTTCATGTGTCTGCACAGATGTAATAATTTTGATTCTACAGCCACAGAGGTTGAAAAGGACCTGTGAAGGTCCATGGTCCAATTCCACACTCAAAGCAGGTCTTATTAGAGCAGAGTCCTCTTGCTCTTCTCCAGTCAAGTACTGAGGGATTTTAGCAGGGACTTGAGATAAAATCGAGCTCTGAGAGCTGGAATTTAACCTTAGCTTACATTTGTATGGAGAGGGTACATATTGCACAAAATAAGAAAGGTAATTTTCTGTGGGAGACAGTTGTAGCTACAAAGGCATTGGTAGTTTCTCTCCCAAAGGCAGAGTTTTGTTTTGTGTTATTTCCACACCAGATTTGCAGACATCGTATCCAAATTCAGCAGATGGCAGGGCCCAACCTGTGGTTCTGAATAATCTTCAGTAAAACACATCTGCAAAAAATGTAGAGAGAATTAGGTACTCTATGGTCTGTGCTTTCTCACTACATGTGTCTCTGTGCTGAAGAAACTTCATTCCCTCAGAGTATCTGTGCTCCGGGAGAATCCACCCCATCAGCCACTTTATCCATGCACTTACAGGCCAAGCAACATCAGTGTCCCTTTCCACAACTTTGTTCTTCATGGCAAGCTATGAATGCCACTTTCACAGCTGTATAACAACAGTGATTTTTAAATGTTGATGATGAAAAATAAGACTTATATTTTATTGCCCTGTTACATAAACCTCTGGACAGCTGTGCTACCTTCTCTTTGAATTTCTGCCACGGTATCCAGTGTTCCTGTAGCAGTGCAGAAACCACATCTACCGTGGTCTTTTCAGCAGGCTGATTCACTCCAGACATCTGTTGGGGTTTGTGTTTTGCAAACTGTATGCGAATATTAACATGCAGCACCTGATTGTGCTTTTTTGGGGGGACTGTGTGCTGACTAGAGAAACAGGTAATAAACAGTTAAGTGTCTCCTTCTACAGAAGCTAGTTGTTTGCCTACTTACTTTTTCAGAAACAAAAGTCAACAGAAAAGCACAGAGACCAGTGTCATCACAGCACTTACCTTCATGTCCTGTTACAGGTGGTTTGCAAAGCCCTGAAATGTTGACTCAGGCAGCCCAATTTAAAGTTGTAACATGGTTTGCTATGCTCACTATTGAAATTATTACAAAGATTTGGGTTCTGATAACAGTGATGTTGTGTGCTTGCCTATTTTTCATTCCAAGTCATGATGTTCATTGCAGCCCAGCTTTAAGTCGCACAGAACGAAGAGCAAAGCAAACCCTCCCTTGTTCAGTCCCCTTGGTGGGCTCTGTGGGCATGATTCTGTTCTGCCCAACAACCCCATATGCCCATGATGTTCATGTCTGTGGAGCCAAAAATACAGGGGAATTTCTTTCGGAGGGGTTAAGCCAGGCTCTCCACATTGGGGGTGAAGGCTGTAGGCGAGTGGGGAAAACAAACTACTTAATAAACAATACCTCTGATTAGATAGGGATGAACAAGCTGGACTTTGAGATAGTTGAGCAAGACTGCAGAGTACAGAAAACAGGAAACATCCAGCACAGTGTGGAGAGGTGGGCAGGAGACAGACTCAGCTTGGATTAGACTTTAACCCCATCACGCAGGCAGCAGCCTCTCGGGGCCACAGAGCCAGGTGTTTTTCATGTGGATGCATATGATTCTTGGACATGCTTCCAACTCCCACTGTTTTTTTCCATTCCATTTCAATACCTTTTAAAGGTCTGACCACGTCCAAAAGTGTTGATAAGGTTAAATAGTATTTCATTTACAGAGGGAAGCTTTAAGCTTTTAATTTTTCTCTTGGTGACCATGTCATTTCTGAAATTGCTTCATCCATTTCTTTCATTGTTCTTTCTCAGGTATACTGCAGTTTGCCTCTCTTCACATTTGCCTATTATTTGTTTTTAAAATGCTAGTTAATTTGCGTAATTAAACACAAAAACAGTATCAGAATTATTCTTGTAGAACCAGACAAAAAAACCCACAATCTCCAACCTGGAAGAATATAAGCAATTCAAAACTTTTTACCTGTTGCCTTTAAACCAGACTTTCCGTTGATTTTAATGTACTTTATCCAGCAAGACTTCACTCAAAATTTCAGTGCAGAACTGGCAGATCCTTTGACAGCAAGGCTGGATGTAAAAAGGACAGCAATTAAATTAACTTCTACTATGAAAACTTGGTACTTGCACTGTCAAACTCCAGAAAGCAAACCAACAAATTAAGACCTAAGTAATAACCCAAGCCATCTGTGAATACAGTTTTTGGTATTCTTTAACATTTTAAATGCATACTTCTGTCAACTTTCGTATGGTGATTTCATATGGAAAAGTCAACACCAGCAAAATTTCCAAGCCATTCAAACAGAAAATACACTTATGTTCTGCCACAGTTGTGAGAGAAAATGCCAGACATTTGTGTTTTAACTTTAGCAGTCTCTTTTATACCTAACTACTATTTTCTGTTTCATGCTATAAAAGGCACAACAATGAACATTTAAGCTCTTACTAGTTATGCATCTTGTTTGCAGTGATGTTTCAAACACAAATTTGAACAAGCTGTAAGGTTTTTTATATTGCAAGACTGTTTATATCAGCTTTCTCATGAACACATAAGAAAGCTATAATCTGTGCAGAAACTCCTCAATCGCTGTATTTGGTTAGGTACGTGTATTTGAGGATGAGGAACCCCAGGGATGCATAGAAGACATGGTCCTTCCTCTGAAACTGAACTCCCACTGGCAACCCTGCAAACTGCAAAAGACAAACCCAAGGTACCACCACAATGGGTGGCAACAGAAACAGCAATGAATGCTACAAAATGTGTTTGTTTCACACTATTAAGGAGCCACTTTGTCACAAAGTGGTTACCTGGACCCCTCAACATTTGTCTGCATGGCATCTGCCTCTCTTTGCCTCTTGTTTTCTTGGTGTTCATGGCCACAAATCCAGTCTCTGTTCCCATAATGTCTGGGTATAGCCCCCTCTACTCACACCAGCAGACAGCCTCTGTCCAGCCACAGCCCTAGGGCTGCACCACCTTAGTCTGAAAAAGGCTTAAGCAGAAAAAGAAGCCATTAAAAAAATCAGTTGAGTCACTGGAAAGATGAGTGAACTGGCAATACTGAGTTTAATCATGAACTCCATGACACAGGCTTGCAACTTGGATAATACACCAATTTTTTTCACAGAATGATTATTGCAGGCAATGATTTGTACTTTTTATGGACCAGGTTAGTTGTTTGGTTAAATGCAAGTACGCTGCATTCCCCTCACGATGCAAGCTTATTCCTCTTATCATTTAAGGATACACAATACCACTATAACCTAATTTTTAGAGCTACAAATATTGTATGATTACTTATGATGAAAGTATGTACTCTTTTCCATTTTAATATCTCTGCAATTTCTAGTCACTGTCATGGGTCTGCATGCTAACAGGACCAGACCTTACAGTGACATCATCCAGCATAATTCCTCATTCCATGTTCTTGCCTGAAAAGGCTCCCATTCCTAAACTAAGTGGAAAAGTTAACCATCATGTCCACTCACCTTTTTATCTCCTCACTCCTCAAAATCTCTGCTAGGACCTGTAATCCTAGTGCTTGGAGTGCTGAGTGTTGGCTCAGAAGGTCTAGAAAGGCACATATCAGTAATTATCCACCTGGAAAAAAAATACATATACTTCTGAAAGAGATAAGAATGCAAAGTGGGCTGCAGGAGATTATCTAAAGTGGTTTCTAAATGTCAGACACTGATTTTTTTTCCAAGAAGACTCCCACAGATTTTCTCTAATAGGCTGTCAGACCATATCACAGATGACACTGGGAAAGAAACACTTCCAAGTACTTTCGTCCTGTGACAGTTTCTACCAAACCAGGAGCAACAGGACTGAAATTCTGATTTTTTTCTGTGGCCCAATATGACACCTCCTTGGTCTCAAGAGGGTCTTAGATACTGTATTTAATTAAAAATATTTTAATCTATATTGGATGCCTCTGTTGTGGTGGAGAAGCTTTAGTACATCATGGGGTTTATCTTTCTGCTAGGATGGGAGAAATGGAATGTAAAGTAAACACTGTGAAGTAGGGAAGGCTTTATGTGCATGTTATGTGGCACAGCATTCTTCAGCAAAAAAGTATGGATCAGGAAAGACAACATTAAAGAAAACAAAGGAACACAAGCACAAGACCTTCAGCTGGACTGCATTCTCAGCTTTTTTCACTTTATGCTGACTGTCATATAGTGCTACTGCTGGCAGCATGCAAGTTGCTGAGATTGCCTACAAGTCCAGTAAAGGCTAAAGGTGTCACTGCATGAGCCAAACAAACTGAGAAACTACGTCATTCCCCAGGCAAACACTGGGTCTTTGTGGTAAAAATGTGCCAATGTCCAAGGTTGCTGTGTTGTTGCTGAGGGTATGATGTTTGCATAACAGTCCCTGCGCTGCTCTTCCCTCCAGGAAAGCTGACCTGCAATATGGAATATGGGGGGAGAGAATAAAACAAATAATCAACCTCCCTGGGTTTGGGGAATAGCTGGAGCATGGTTTCATGTAAACTGGAGTGCTAATACACTATTTATACAGCATCAGTATTTTTCACAGAAAAATTCTGCTAAGCAACTGAGAAGTTTGTATGTCATTGCCATGTGGGTGGATGTTTCAATGGGATTTTGGTGGAAAATTTGGCTTGCAGTTGTGCACCTCAATGTGGGCATATTTTGTCTGATGACCATCATTCTCACGCATACTCTGGGTTACAGAACATCATAGCTTGCTGTTTTATTAACCCTAATGCTGTAGCATCACATTTTGCCTTTCCACATACTAACTGGAAAAGGAAAATATGTTTCCATGCTAAATTTTCCAGTGAGGAAGAGCAGTGTAACACTTATGAGGCCACAGAAATGATACCAGCTCATGCCAATTAAAGATCTGTTGCATTGTTTCTGTATTTTGTTTTCTACTCTTCCTTCCTGCACTGAATAGTTTCCTAAGTATAAGCTTTCAAAAGATCTAAACCTAAACACAAAGCTATGCCCAAGATCCCTGTAAACAATTTCCATGGTTCCTCTTGCACTTCTTTTCGGTCTGTTTTAGGAGGAGGAGGAATAATTTGAAATAACTGGAAAACACCTCCATTTCAGTGCATGGTAAATGGCCTTATATATACACAGGGGAGGGAAAAGGGAAGGAACAGCAGGAGAATGACCAGGTCCCATTGGAGGTGTGTGGTGGTGGTCTGATAGCCAACGACAGACATTGAGCAGTGACACCTCCCCAGTCAGCCTGGGGAGGGAGGAGGGACAATGAAGGAGAGGGGGTGGGAAGCCGTCAAGAATTTTATAAAAGTTAGTGATTAGAAGGACTGGGTATCTTTGCCTGCAAACACCTCACCAGAAGCTTGTAGCAGCAGAGGGACTGCCTACAAAAAAGTAAGTATAATAATTTAGTTTCTAAACTGTAAAGGTGGTATGTATATCAGCAGCTGAGACCTGGCATGTTTATCTATGCTGGGCTTGGAAAGTTGTTTTGATGTTGTTTTTATTTTTTTGTTCCAGGAACAGCTTGTAAGAATTAAGCACTCAGCCATTCTGCAGTGGTCTTCCAAAGTGACCTATTTGTTGCTAACACTGGCTTTCTGACTTAGCTTAGTCAGAACTCCTGGAATAAGTGAATCCTTAGACTAAGGGGACTAGAGCAATATCATACCTGCATTGCTTTCTGTTGCTTTGTTTTGTATTTGGTTTATGCTTGTGGCATACCCAAATTTATGTTTTGCAAGGAGAATAGAGAATGACTGCAGAAGGCAGCTGGTCCTGACAGGCACCAGTGCTGACAGAAGTGTAATTATGTTGTGTTCATTGTGCAGCTTCTTCTGAAGCATTAGTGCAGTAGTGTGGATAAGATCCTTTGGCAGGGGGGTGTAGGATGGTCTGCAGTGCAGGAAAACAAAACCTGCTTTTGCATTAGGCTGTAACCTCTCCAGCTGTGAAAAGACAGCTTCAGGAAATTGCTCAACCAATAAAAATCCTCACTGAGTCTGTGATCCTCCATCACATTCTCAACATGTGCCTAGAACCCAAAACTATTTTTAGCCCACTTGAGAACCTCACCACTTCCCCAGCCAAGACTGCAATTCTCATGCAAGTCTGACATCATTTTATTACCTTCTCTGAGAAGAGTCCAGCCCTGAAATGGGGGTACATTTGCTCAGAACTTGAGTGTGGCTCTGAGACTAACATGGGAGTCAGGACAGGAGATAGGATGTTGAACCAAGGTCCCTAGACAGAACTTGAAGATAGTAAAAAAGAATTCAGCGAAGAGAGTGAAAAACAACCAGGCAGTTTACCATCAAATATGCCCCAAAGTACCTATCGAGATGGTGAAATAAGTATGTCAATCAAAAACATTTGTCCCTTTTTCTAGGTGACAGAAGTCTAAGTATCTCTTTTCATCCCTTACCCTTGAGACTTTTTAGAACCCAGAAATGAAATTTTGCTATACTAAAACCATCACTGTCAATGCAAAGATGATGGGGGAAACATCCTGTTCTTTCCTCAGAGCTCCTTCCTACATACAGGAGGCACTGCTTCTACTTCGACTCCTGAAGCAGGTACTCACAGAGAGTCACAGGGCAATTCAGGATGAAAGGGACATCAGAAGGTCTGCAATCCCACCACCTCCTGCCCAAAGTAGGGTTAGACATGAGGTGAGACCAAGGTGTTCAGGGCTTTATTCAGATGTGCCTTGGCAACCTTCAAGGATGGAGACACCACAGCCTCCTTTTCAATCTGCTCCATTGCTTGGCTGTCCTAACAGTGAAAATTTTTTCTTCATATCCAGTCCAAATCTCTCTAGTTTCAGCTTACGCCTGTTGTCTCTCACTGTCCCTGCACATGCCACTGTGAAGAGCCTGTCTCTGCCTGTGCAGAGGTGCTGGGGACTGCTGAGAGGTCCCCCCAAAGCCATCGCTGTCTGAGGCTGAACTGGACCCATCTCTGCAGACTTCTCCTCACAGAGCAAGTGCTACAGCCCCCAACCCTCTTGGTGGCACGTGTTGAACTGACTTGCTTCAGTTTGTCATGTCTTTCCTGTACTGCAGGGACCCAACACTGGAGGCAGTACCCAAGTGTAATCTAAAGAGTGCTGAGCCAAGGGGGATAACCCCTGTCCTCCTCTAGGCTGGACTCCTGCTCACACAGGATGCTTGGGCCCTTGTTGCTGGCCCCCTGTTCAGCTCAGTGACTGACACGGCCCTGGGCCATCCCCAAAGAGCTGTTCCCCCATCCCACTAGTCCTGGAGGGATTGCTGCCAGGGCTCTGTGCCTCAGGCAGTGACTGGGCATTTGTCCTGACTGGACTTCATGAAGCTCCTGTTGGCCTCTTCCTTCCCCCAGCCAGGTTCCTCTGGATGGCTACCCATCAAACAAGTGTATCCATGAGTCCTGCCAGCTTGGTGTCATCTGCAGGTTGGATAAAGATGTGCTCTCTCAGCAGGACGGGGCCAGGCTTGCCCAGCAACTCATACCCACCTGTTTTCACAGTGCCTGAGTAACCAGACTTACTGAGGAACAGCTCTTTAATGGAGGTCCACAGAGAAGTGAGGCCACAACTTGATTTATCCACTGCAATGAGAATACAAGGTGCCTAACCCATTACATGTCTGTCTCTCCCAAGCATACAAGTGTAAAAGAGGAGTAAATCCAGTCAGGTCAACACTGAGCCTGCATGAAACAGGCTAAACTTTTGAATACTCTTCATTCTCTCTATCAACTGTATTTATCCATTTATATGTTCCACATCTGCTTCTTCAAACCCTGCTCCTTGGAAGCAGAGTCTTTTGTGTGCAGAGTTTGTATTGCTGACTGTCAGAGATGGAGACACCACAGCCTCTCTCTTTATTAGTAATTGATCAGGAAAAGCTACATGCATGAGATACAAACTGTAGTTTGAGAGTTTGGTCCTGCACTTTTGGAACCAATTTTATAAGAGATGGCAATGAAGAGACCCAAGAAAAAAATTTACAGATTCTGATCCAATCTTTCCCATCTGCAAACCAGGACTCAGGTGAGGTTTTTTGTAAGATTAGAAGATGTCACTTGAACTGTTTGGAAAGAAAAGACACCAATGGAGTATTAATGTTTCTAAGATGACCAGAAGGTAAAATGTAACATTGTTCCTTCTGCTTTTTGTCTTGACTGTGCTCTTTGGGTCTCAATATTATCAGGATACAGTGCTTGTGCTGATATCCATGAAGATACTTCCCCTCCTCCTTCATGGTAGCTGAGTAAAGCATGAGATTTCATGAGTAAATATTTACTTTTACAACTGTTCTATCCCCTTTCCCCTACCCTCACCTCCTGCTGGCCACGAGCTGTGGACTGAACAAAACTTTGATTGCTTAATGAGCTGCTGGAACCTGACAAACACTCCAGGTAGCCACAAAACTGGTTTGTTTTTTATTTGGTTTTGTGGTTTTCTTTTGTTCTGCATTCTGTGTAGTTTTACTGTTTTGTGGTTTTTTTTCTTTTAATTTTAGAAAAAGCTATGTAAGCAGTTACTACAAACAGAATGCTTTGTATTAATGCAATGTAAAATCAACATGAAATCACTTGAGCTTCTGACACTTAGCCCACAGCCTAAAATGGGTAAATAAAAAGAAAAATTCTTGAAAAACTTTAGTGGTGGGACAATTCCCATGTATTGTTACTGATACCACAGCTCATTTGAGCTTTTTTCTTCCTGGAAAGTTGACAAATTAAACAGATAAATAAGGCAAATAGACAAATTTGTTCTTAGAAGACTGAAATGAGCTGTGCAGCTCTGGCAGCCTGGGCACAACTGTTTTTCCTCAGGACCTGTGAGGTGACATATCCAGCTCTTTAAGGGGAGACGTTAATGTTTCTGTGGATGTGCTAGGAGCTTGCTCTTTACAGGGTAGCTGTATGAAACATTACTGAAGTGTAAGGCTTCTCCACTCCCCTTTAAATGCTCAGAGCAGGACCTTACAGCAGAGACACCCTTTTTGAATCCAACCATGAAGATCCTCAGAAATTATGCTCCTCATGAAAGAATCATAGCAAAACAAAATCCTAAATCAAGGGGACTTGAACATTCTGCACCTTTGAGCTATTATTAGGTTTACAATTCCTCTTTTGCTCTCATTTCTCCATCATTTCAGCTAGAAACATTGTGCCTTTTATTCATCCTTGTAGCTCAGCAGGGTAGCTGGAAACCACTCACCAAAGCCTTAAAGATAATTTTGGGGAGACTTCTGGCAAAATTCCACCTACTCCTTCACACTCAATGAGATCCTTGCATAGAAACTGGAACTAATCTGCTGTCTTCCAATTCATCCTTGTGGAACTACACTGTATGGTTTCAGCTTCTCAGAGTACTCACTTGGAACAGCATTATTTGCTGAAAGCTTGTATTTCTGTACTTCTGTGCTTTGCAGGCTGGCTTCGAGTGATAACTGGCTCTTTGTTATCTTTAGGGAAACACTGGAAATAAGTAAGAAAGAGCAGACATTAGTCTCACTGTTTATTGCATTGCTGGAAAGAAAATGTGCCCACAATAACATGACTAGAGCAACTGGTGGTCTTCCAGTTCAGGTACAGGGATTAAAGATTACCTGGATACACCCCCTGGTGCTGCAGCACAGCTCCAAACTGCAACTCTAAAATCCCACCCCTGCTTTAGAGATTCATTAACTTTGACCTTGGACAAGATCATACTTTTGCCAGGTCACAATTTTCCAGTCTTTTCCACAGATACTGTGAACCACTGGAGTGATTCCTCATCATTTTGCAAAACCACTTATTTAACAGTACAGTGGTTTTACCTGAAGTGCTCACCACCCAACTATTACAGTAATCATAACAACAAGCCAATTTCCTCTTTGAGACATATCTGACACAGACAGCAGGTGAATGATAAGGAGGGTTATAGGTGAACTGAAGTAGCTATGCAGCATAAACCACAACTTTTCAAGTTCTTCTGAGGGGGCTGAACAGGCTGAGAGCTGGGAGTGATGGAGCAGCGGTCAGCACAGTAGAAGGATGTTTCCCAGAGCTCTGGGCACAGCCAGATACACAAAGAGAGGGGCTCAGATGAGCTTGCTTCTGCAGGAACACAGCAAGAAGGCATTTCAGCCCTTGGGGAGGGAGAGAACTTTCCCTCATTTGACTCAGTCTTTATCACGCTCTCCTTCAACTCCCCTCTAAACCTGGAATGACTCACCTTTGATTATCTGCATAGGAAAAATTCTGGTCTCAGCTCACAAAAAGGTAAAGACGTGTACACTGCATCTGGCTGGTCTGTACTGGCAGACAATGCCATTTGAATCTTGCATGATTATATTTCCAAAGTATCTTCAGCTGCCACCTGACTTGTGATGGCAGGGTTGCCAGAAAATGTTGGCACCATTTGACATGCTGTACAGAACTCTGTACCTTATCATGAGTAGCAGACAGATTGTTTGTCGTTTCTCCCCATTATGCCTTTCAGGCAGGAAGAACAAGGCAAGGTTTCCCTGGTGACTTAGCATCTGTGTGCAGGGAAAGAGGAAGTAGGACTTGGCTGCCTAATGCTTATATAGGGAGAAATATGTGCTGGCCACCTCTGTTGAAATGGGAAATGGCATGTTCTCACTCATCTCTCGGCTGACTTTGGGAGTAGAAAATGCAGACAGTGTCCAGAGCCCTGCCCTTTTGGAGGAAAACT